ATTTAGCTGTCAACAAATATTCCCAAATAAAGTTATTACATATATCTGGTATAAAAAGAAGTTGAAAATCTTACAAACTTACAGAAAACATTCTGTTCTGCTCTTTCTAGTCTGTTTCTAATCCGCATGATGACGTAATTTGTGACGTATGACCTTCCATAAAAACTAGCTTTGGTTCCATAAAGTAAATTATTATATATCACTTAGTCATCAGCGTTCGTCTTCGAAGCGGAGAAACATTTTCAAGATAAAGATTTGAATGACGAAAATTATAAAAATTAAGGAATTTCCCGAATCATTGATGAATACGAAACTGAATAGCCAGGTTCCATTTGCACTTCCTGTTACAGAAAAAAAACCGGGTCAGCGAGAGCTCCTTTCTATCGTTTGTTACAGACTTTCCCTTTGGCTGATTGTGATCTAATTCCTTAAAACAATGGTAAATATATATGCTTTGTTAATTGTTTATCATATTTTGTGTTTATAATGCACATTTTTATTGAATATTCAACTTGCAACGAAATATTTCAGAGTAAATTCGGATTTCTTTCTCATTTTTTCAGGTTCTGCGTAACGCAGCCAGGTGAATCGAATGGTCTTTTTATGTTTAGTGACATTTATTTGAAGGTTTACTAAATTTTTGGTAAATAATTAAAAGTTATTTTTATTTTAACTAACTGTCATTACAAGTCTCTACACATGTGTCACAACAAAATACATAGACTTTGTTTTGTTCTGACACATATGTAGAGACTTGTAACCACAGCTTCAATAGACCAAGTGTATCCTACAAAATAATTTAGACATAAGATGATAGGTCCAACAAAAGGTTCCATCTTCTAATGGATTAATTTGAGGTCCATGCAAAAAATGTAACTATTGTATTTGATTTATTCACAATTGAGGTACTATTCTAACTATTCTATCCAGATTAAGAAATCAATCTTTTCAGTATAATTGCACTGTTGTGAGTAATTTATTAAAAATTCATCAATGACATGTTTATTGTCAACCAATAAGAATATCACAATTAAAATGAAACATTTTATCTCATTTGGTCCAATAGCAGCCTGCTATCAGGATATATAGAGTAAGTCAATAAGACACTGTATGTGTTGAATATAAAATACATGGTTACTGTCTTGAAATATAAGCGATATTTGGGCGAGGTTAAGGAAACATGATAGAGGGCGAGGCATACGTTTTCGACCCGAGCCCAAATATTGCTTATATTTCAAGACAGTTATCTTGTATTTAATTTATCCTGCAACAAAATTCTGCATTTGAAAGTTCAAAACAAGCCATTTTCGACAGATTTAGGTACATCTCTGCAGTGGCAACTATGACGCCATGGCGTAAATATTGTAGTATACATGACCAGTCCAGTCCAATACGAAAAATCGTAATATTACAAAATATCGTAATGTTGTTCTTATATTACTATTATAGTTAAATTACGGAAACTCGTAATAGAGAAACACCGGCATCTTACGAACAAACGTAACCAAAAACGGGGATCAGCCATTGTAGTCTATTGTATTTACGGTTGGATGATTGATTTTTTCAATTTTATTGGGATTTCGATAGAAAAATCCCCACGATACCTCAAATCCACGTCTTTTCGTAGTCGCTACCGTGACGCTACAATACATTTCAATGGACATTTAAACGAGCAAAGGGGTTCAAGAAGGGAAAAAAAAGGAAAATTAAAAAAAAAATGTCATTCTGTGGCGTAAAATAAAAAATGATAGTATTTGCAGATCTAGTAGGGGTCGAAGGGATGGGGGATACTTTGCGAAGGGGGATCGGGTCAATAAGGAGTTATGGTCTAAAATTGAATTGCAAAAACTCAAAAACTTTGAAGAAATTCTTGTTCAAAATACTATATGCTGCGAAAAATAAAAGTAATATGGCTTTAATACACAGGTATTATAGCCATATCATAAATCCAGCCTAAGGGTACATGTATGTCCGTCCGTAATTTGTCGGTTGATAAAGCTTCTTCTTACAAACATGTATCTTAAAAATCTTCATATAATTTTCACATGTTCTAGTGGACTGGACCCCCCCCCCCCAACCAACTCAAAATTATTTTTTTATTTCACTGTAAAAGCTTAAAGGCTTCTTGAGATATTGCTCAAAACAAAAGTGTAACAGACGGACAGAATTATAAGACGAACGGACTGACTGAATATAATATCCCCAACTTTCGGGGGGAGGGGGGGTGCGCAAAAATGGAATTTTAGTGAATTGTGTTTTTGACATAATTTTAAAATATATGAGAGCAAGTTCCATATTAGCATGCCATCATAGGACCTATCCCCTCCCCCTCCCAAACCCCTGGAATATATATAAATCCGGTTCCAAAGATTTTTTTGGCTTTCTTTCATGTATAACATTTACAATTTACTACATACAAAATTGATTCCTGTAGTTAAAAAAGTCAGAGATGATTTAAAAATAAGAAAAAAATTTTATGTACTTTTTGGATTTTTCATTTGAAATACACGGTAAATATGTACTACGGCTACTTTACATAAAGAAGAGAAATATCAATATCTGGGGACCTGATATGTATATTATGGGTGGGGTGGGGAAGTTGTTTGATCTACAAGCACCTGTGATAAGTACATGTATATGTGTGCACATACTTTTGAAGGATGCCATGAAAATTGACAACTAAGTGACAACTACAGTACTGTACATTTTCATATTATTCACACTTATGAAAGTCCGTATATATTATTGTCGGTATTCTGGGATCAATCTTTTTTTTTACAACAGGATGGTGAATATATTATTTTCCTTACAAATGAAGCAAGTTATAATTTCGGTTATAGTTTTTATATGTAGATTCTACGTTCGGTCAAAATATCTCTGTGTGTGGTCAAAAGTATAAAGTGTATCTTCTAATTTTATAATGCATGGTTAACAAACAGTGACTTAGTGGAGCATAACTTTAAAGCAAAGAAAAGAACTTAAAAAAAGCACCACCCTACATAAATGCATATCTTCAGCCTTTTTCATAATCCACACATATAAACAGATATACATGTACACACGGTCGTATATAGGAACAGGGTTGAGGGGTTGGGCATAAGCCCATCTCCACCCCATAATGAAGTCGATAAAATAAACAATGTAATACCGGTATTATAGAAAACTTAGCTACTGTATACTTGTGCCCATTCAATAAAAATATTTTTCATTTTGGTTTCCCAAGAAATTGTTTGGTAGTGACTCTAAACTTTAGGTTGTGCCCCCCCCCAATGAAATTGATTGCTTCGGGCCTGTCACATATATATAATTAAAATAAAAGCAGCCCAAAATAATTTAGTTAAGATCGCCATTCAATACATCATCTAAGAGGATACTGTCTACCACGAATGCTCGTTTATTTCTTTGAAGTGATATTTTAATTGATTTAAAAAAGAATCTCTCTCTCTCTCTCTTTCTCTCTCGGATCAATATAAGACTCTTTATAAAGCGCACAACCTATTTACTTGATTGCACGGATTTATTTTTTTTTTCAAGCTGTAAAATGTTACCTTTCCTCATATGAACAAGGCGCACAATACGGGTAGTTTGTATACGTTTAATCACTGACGCATGATAAACGTGTTTCCCAATCCGTCTAAAGTACATGTATTATGGTGACACGTATTTTCTCCTATTTGTTCGCTTTTTTAAAACATTGTAAGTGATTACAAAAGATTTGACATGAGCAATTGTCAAATACAAAGTGGTTAAACCACTATCCGTTTTATTTTACACATATACTTATTTCTTCCGATTTTAAACTTTACATGGGTACAATCACTGGTCCCGAGAAAACTATCGAGATACGGGAAGTTAGGGAGAATTACGTTCGTTCGTAAGATGTCGGTGTTTCTCTAATATAACAAGTTGAGAGAGACTATATTACGAGTTTTCGTAATGCAAGACAAAATAAAGCATTGAAAGAAACTGAATTATGTTTATGGAAATATGACGTCAGTAATACATTATGCCTCAATGGTACTAGTATCACGTGGTCATTTTGGTCAGTGACGTCTATCGAAAAGTATGGAAATGCCAAAAGAAAGTAACAATGGTAATGGGTGAGTGAACATTTTGTTTTATTTTTCTTATATAAGAATTTTCCCAAGGAGAGAATGAATTTTCCATAAAATTTCAATGTATCCTCAAGCTTGTCACAATGGTCTATAATCCCCGAATTCAGTATATTTTTCCCTAAGTCTACCCTGAAAATCAGACCCTCAAACAACGAGATTTTTACGAGAGATAACTTGCAAGACTCTCACTAGGCTCTGAATCCGCTTGCACTTGGATCAAATGCACCAAAACAAGGAAAATCCACTAACCATACATATCCACGATATCTTAATGATGAAACCAGATACAAATAATCCCTGATGAAACATAACAAAGAAATTGTATCAGAAAAAGGGAAGTAACTCTTAGAAGAGTTAGAAATTGCTTAAATTACGAATTTTAGTAATATTACGATTTTTCGTATTGGACTGGACTGATGACCTCACAATGCTTTTAGAACGTCAGAATACATACACGAGGCTTTATTAAGGCAGTGAGCGGATAAAGCTTTGGTTTATTAGGTTACCTTAATTAGGTCAATGCAAAAAGTAGTTGCAGGATAAACTCTATTATGCAGTTATGAATGTGCTTAACACAGGGTCTTTTGTTTCGCTCTAAACATTGCCATTTTGCATACTCAGTAATACAAGTTGCCAAAACATGGACTTTTCATGTGATATAATAGAATTTATTGTATTTAATGTCACCCTAATTAGAATTTAATTGGTCCCTTTGACCTAAACAATCGCATTATTAGTATGGGTAATAGCATTTTATGATAATTAAAATTTCTTTGTAGAAAACGCTTTTCAGGACAAAAGACTGAAAAACTGCCTGTAAACACAGCTATCATTAAAGGCAATGAATAACCTAAGAACATCCAAACAATATGATATCAGAGACTAGCAATTTTTATCACTCAATGTGGCAGTAAAACCTAAATAAATATTGAAATGTTCAATTTCTTTTTTCATTGCTTTTTTTCTCTTGTTTATGAATATTGAATGATATTTATGCGAATTTCGCATGATTTTTACATGAAAAACTGATAATTTGGAATTTGCATGAATATCATGCGAAATTTCACTCACATGAAAATCGCATGAATTTCGCATAAATATTGTATGAGGACATTCGCATGAAATTCGCATGTGGAATTTTTCGCATGGTTTTTATGTGATTTTCGTACGAAATTCATGCGAAAAGGCATTCGCATGAAAATCATGCGAGCCACTTTTCCCTGTGTAAACATTTTCAGTTAGAAATCTTAGTAAACGATGGATATAGAACACATTACAAAAAAAGATACATTTACAATAACAGAAGTTTCAACCCTTAGCAAAACTATAGCCTCACTGGTTTTCTTTAGCAAAAAGAAATAAAGGTAGCACTTAAAATTTTAAGAATGGCAACAGCAATAACTAGAATAATGATTCTTGATTGTACCTCTCTAAATCAAGTTTGATAATACTAGAAATTTGACAAAAAATAGAGTAGACATGACATTTTGAAGGATTTTTTTTAAACATTTATGAAAATAATAATTATCATGGAAACACAAAATCAACAAAATCAAAACCTTATATACAGAATAATGTTTAATATAGTCTACTTGTACACCAACTTAAATTGAAATAAAAAAAAACAGTATAAAGGAAAACCATTTTGATTGATCTATGCCTAACAGTGGGATACAAATCCTTACTTCGCGACTCTTGATCAGACACTCTAAACTGCGCCTTGCGTGTGACTGTAATAGTTTGAAAGAATTTTGAAAAGAATTTCACAAACTTTAATATAGAAACGATGAAAAAAGGGAAACAAAAACATAATCCAATATAAAAATGATTTTTCTTTGTGTAGCTTTCTACCAAGTTAAATCGAAATCAGACCAAAACTGTAGTAACTTTCAAAGACATTTCTGTTTTTAGTTACCAGAGCAACATCATTCATTGATATAAAAACAAAGATGCATAGCATCATGTATCTTGGTGTAGAATGAGTAACATTTTGAAAAAAAAATACCTAAAGACAAATATACAGATTGAAACAAGTGCAGACAAACGACGAACACCTTAATATCGCATAAACTTTCTAAAGGGGGAGGGGACGTACTCTACATTAATTGATTATAATTAAATTAATTTTGTAAATTGATAAAACAATATACAATGTCTTTAAATGTCAAATACTTCTTTTTCATATAGTTTAAAAAAAATCAAATTCAAAATAACAAGACAAATAATAGTTTTATTTCTATTGTCTACATGTTACTACTGTTATCATAATTGTGAGACGTAAAAATATCATCCACTGAAAAGCTTTTTTCTGTTCAATCATTGAACACAAAACACCTTTACTTGTGAAATCAAACAAGCTTACCTAATGCCTCTGCATTTTCTTCCTCTCCAAGTAATTCCTTCATGTTAATCTTAAACCAAAAACAATTGTGTCAAATATTTTCAAATTCACATTAGTATATAAAAGTTTTTTGTTTAATTTTATATAGTTTTTAAACAACTTAAATGGTATTATCTTTGAATCTTTTTCTCATGAAAGACAAACAAAAAAATGATAATTATATCAAAACCTCATAACAGAATCCTATTTAAATAAAAAGGTACAAATGTAATCTTTAAATAAATTCTAAGTTAGTCATTCTATTTCTAAACACAAGGAAAATTAAAAAGAGTAAAAAAAAATAAATAGCTTTTCCATATCTAATATCAGATTTGTTTTCAAAAAATGTATACAATATTTTTCCGATTTGCTACGGTTCAGAATATACGTACAGAAAGACCTTTTTCTTTTTCCAGAATATCACAGGATACCTTCATGAATAAAATTAAAACATTCAACATGTTAAAAAACAGACTTTACTTTAATAACATGTTTCAATTTCATCAGAAATGAATAATGTACAGTTCAAATATTCACGAAAATGGACGACCTTCTCAGATTGAAAATAAAACTTTAAATAGCATCATGAAATATAAATTACTTCATACTTACATGCTACTACTATTATTACTTTTTTTCCGAAACACAAGGAAAATTAAAAAGAGTAAAAAAGAGAAATAAATAGTTTTTCCATATTTAATATCAGAATTGTTTTAAAAAAATATGTACAATATTTTTCCGATTTGCTACGGTTCAGAATATACGTACAGAAAGACCTTTTTCTTTTTCCAGAATATCACAGGATACCTTCATGAATAAAATTAAAACATTCAGCATGTTTAAAAACAGACTTTACTTTATTAACATGTTTCAATTTCATCAGAAATGAATAATGTACAGTTCAAATATTCACGAAAATGGTCGTCCTTCTCTAATTGAAAATAAAACTTTAAATAGCATCATGAAATATAAATTACTTCATACCTACATGCTACTACTATTATTACTTTTTTTCCGAGCTTACTTAGGTAACTTTACACCTAGCTATGTACCGTTATGTTTTTGTTTAATTTTATATCGTTTTTAAACAGCTTAAATGGTAATAACTTTGAATCTTTTTCTCATGAAAGACAAAGAAATGATAATTATATCAAAACCTCATAACAGAATCCGATGTAAATAAAAAGGTACAAATGTAGGCTTTAAATAAGTTCTAAGTAAGTCATTCTATATCTAAACACAAGGAAAAGTAAAAAGAGTAAAAAAATAAATAAATAGCTTTTCCTTATCTAATATCAGAATTGTTTTCAAAAATGTATACAATATTTTTCCGATTTGCTACGGTTCAGAATATACGTACAGAAAGACCTTTTTCTTTTTCCAGAATATCACAGGATACCTTCATGAATAAAATTAAAACATTCAGCATGTTTGAAAACAGACTTTACTTTAATGACATGTTTCAATTTCACCAGATATGAATAATGTACAGTTCAAATATTCACGATATTGGACGTCCTTCTCAGATTGAAAATAAAACTTTAAATAGTATCATGAAATGAAATATAAATTACTTCATACTTACATGTTACTACTAAAATTACTTTTTTTCCCGAGCTTACTTAGGTAACTTTACACCTAACTATGTACCGTTATGTTTTTGTTTAATTTTATATCGTTTTTAAACAGCTTAAATGGTAATAACTTTGAATCTTTTTCTCATGAAAGACAAAGAAATGATAATTATATCAAAACCTCATAACAGAATCCGATGTAAATAAAAAGGTACAAATGTAGGCTTTAAATAAATTCTAAGTAAGTCATTCTATTTCTAAACACAAGGAAAAGTAAAAAGAGTAAAATAAAATAAATAGCTTTTCCTTATCTAATATCAGAATTGTTTTCAAAAAATGTATACAATATTTTTCCGATTTGCTACGGTTCAGAATATACGTACAGAAAGACCTTTTTCTTTTTCCAGAATATCACTGGATACCTTCATGAATAAAATTAAAACATTCAGCATGTTTGAAAACAGACTTTACTTTAATAACATGTTTCAATTTCATCAGAAATGAATAATGTACAGTTCAAATATACACGAAAATGGACATCCTTCTACGATTGAAAATAAAACTTTAGATAGCATCATGAAATATAAATTACTTCATACTTACATGTTACTACTAGTATTACTTTTCCCCGAGATTTGCAACCATTTTAGCTTTGTTTCTTAACATGTCACTTTTAAAGATAAGAATACCAAGAAGGATATGGAAATAACGAACAGTTTTCAATCTCAATGTCCATCAAACAAATATACTAAATAAGAGCAGAGCAAACACGGACCTCCGAAACATCAGAGGTGGGATCAGGTGCCATGGAGGAGTGAGCATCCCCAGTCGACCGTTCACACCCGCCGTGTGCTCGTTGTCATAATCAGGAAATAACGGAAAAAATCCGTGGTAATATTTGCTGACAAGGTCATTGTATCAACCATAGAATTTACGAAATAATGACTTTAAACGAGACTGTTGATATTCTTGTTTCATCAACTTGCTTGTCAATAATTTACCTCGTTTAAGAAATTGTTCATACGTAGAGCATGCTCTTGCGTATCGAATCAACTGAGATATAAATACTCCGTATGCAGGTGATGAAGGTAAATCACGTATATCAGCTTGATTAATTAAATTAAATAAACATTCAGTAATATGATACGTTGTTATGCATACATCACATTGATGACTCTTTGTCTTTTCAGTTTAGAGGTAAATGATGCCAATCAAAGCATGATAATATTTATGTAAACTCTTAAAGAATGCGGTATATGATCTTGCATATAATACAGTGTCAGGGTCTTAAATCGTTTGAATTTTACTGTGTTGCAGAGCTTACGAGAAGCACCAAGAAGATATTTTCGCGATCGACTTCGCAAATAAATCACTTTTCATTATAATTACGAAAGAATACATCTACATACTTTACAAATAAAATCAGTTATTCTTTATATAAATGGTATGCCGTACATATATATTGATAAAATAAAAGCACATGTTCTGAAAAGCAGAGGTAATTCTGACCTATTTACGATTTTTAAAAGTAAATTTACCGTGATTTTTATATCAGTTTTCTTGATCAAATCAGCGAATTGCACAAAAAACTTCAGAATAGTAAAATGCTTATAAGAGTTTTTTGAAAATTTAAAACAATTTATTTACATCAATTACATATTACGATGTTATGTTTGATTTACAGTGCCACAATTATTCTAGAGCCGTGGGTCACCTGAGAATCATGAAACGACTTTCCAACAATTGAATATGGTTAATCCAAAAGCCATAAAATTCACAATTTTGAAAGAGGCAAAATTGCTTATCATAATTATACACTTACCATGCTTACTTAGGTAACTTTACACCTAGCTATGTAGCGTTATGTTTTATATATTTGTCTTTGACCATAACGCTACAGATCCCGAAATGCAAACAAGTGCAATTCACGGCGTAATATTTTTTTGCGCACTTTTGGGAAGAATTTTTCCACTCTCCACATTGTTCAAGCAAATACCTTTCATCGCCCAATTCAATACACATTCTGAAGCCAATTTGTATTTATCCACTTCTCAACCCTTTATAGTCGTGAAGTGAAATTTCAGCACTCTTAAAAAATATTTTAATCAAGCGAGTTAATGATTTGTAGAGACGACT